TGAAATAGTTCAACTGGAATTCCATCACCTCCACTAGCTTCGTTCGTAGTGATGCTTTCTAAGGCCCACTTGACTTCACATTCCAGGATGTCTGGCTCTAGGTGAGTGATCACACCATTGTGATTATCTGGGTCGTGAAGATCTTTTTTGTATAGTTCTTCTGTGTATTCTTGCCACCTATTCTTAATATCTTCTGCTTCTATTATGTCCATACCATTTCTGTCCTTTATTGAGCCCATCTTTGCATGAAATGTTCCCTTGTTATCTCTAATTTTCTTGAAGAGATCTCTAGTCTTTCCCATTCTGTTGCTTTCCTCTATTTCTTTGCATTAATCACTGAGGAAGGCTTTCTTATCTCTCCTGGCTATTCTTTGGAACTCTGCATTCAAATGGGAATATCTCTCCTTTTCTCTTTTGCTTTTAGCTTCTCTTCATTTCACAGCTATTTGTAAGGCCTCCTCAGACAACCATTTTGCCTTTTTGCATTTCTTTTCCATGGGGATGGTCTTGATCCCTGTCTCCTGTACAATATCACGAACCTCCGTCCATAGTTCATCAGGCTCTCTGTCTATCAGATCTAGTCCCTTAAATCTATTTAATCTATTAATCTATTTAATCTATTAATCTATTTAATCTATTTAAACCCCTTGTCCAAGGTAAGGCTGCACTTTGCTGGAGCAGCCGTGAAGAGATACCCCACGTCCAAGGTAAGAGAAACCCAAGTAAGACGGTGGTGTTGCAAGAAGGCATCAGAGGGCAGACACACTAAAACCATAATCACAGAAAACCAGCCAACTTGATCACAGAACCACAGTCATGTCTAACTACAATGAAACTAAGCCATGCTGTGTGGGGCCACCCAAGACGGTCGGGTCATGGTGGAGAGGTCTGACAGAATGTGGTCCACTGGAGAAGGGAATGGCAAACCACTTCAGTATTCTTGCCTTGGGAACCCCATGAACAGTATGAGAAGGCAAAATGATAGGATACTGAAAGAGGAACTCCCCAGGTCAGTAGGTGCCCAATATGCTACTGGAGATCAGTGGAGAAATAACTCCAGAAAGAATGAAGGGATGGAGCCAAAGCAAAAACAATACCCAGCTGTGGATGGGATTGGTGATAGAAGCAAGGTCCAATGCTGTAAAGAGCAATATTGCGTAGGAACCTGGAATGTTAGGTCCATGAATCAAGGCAAATTGGAAGTGGTCAAACAGGAGATGGCAAGAGTGAATGTCGACATTCTAGGAATCAGCTAACTAAAGTGGACTGGAATGGGTGAATTTAACTCAGATGACCATTATATCTACTACTGTGGGCAGGAATCCCTTGGAAGAAATGGAGTAGCCATCATAGTCAACAAAAGAGTCTGAAATGCAGTACTTGGATGCAATCTCAAAAACGACAGAATGATCTCTGTTTGTTTCCAAGGCAAACCATTCAATATCACGGTAATCCAAGCCTCTGCCCCAACCAGTAATGCTGAAGAAGCCAAAGTTGAACGGTTCTATGAAGATCTACAAGACCTTTTAGAACTAACACCCGAAAAAGATGTCCTTTTCATTACAGGGGACTGGAATGCAAAAGTAGGAAGTCAAGAAACACCTGGAGTAACAGGCAAATTTGGCCTTGGAGTATGGAATGAAGCAGGGCAAAGGCTAATAGAGTTTTGCCAAGAGAACGCACTGGTCATAGCAAACACCCTCTTCCAACAACACAAGAGAAGACTCTACACATGGACATCACCAGATGGTCAACACCAAAATCAGATTGATTATATTCTTTGCAGCCAAAGATGGAGAAGCTCTATACAGTCAGCAAAAACAAGACCAGGAGCTGCCTGTGGCTCAAATCATGAACTCCTTATTGCCAAATTCAGACTTAAATTGAAGAGAGTAGGGATAACCACTAGACCATTCAGGTATGACCTAAATCAAATCCAATGAATGAATAGGCAGTGATAAAAGGCAAAACTAGTGAGTAGGTTCTGAAGCATAATTTATGAAAGATCTCCTTGGGGCAATAGCAGATCTAAGAAGCAAAACTCTTAGAATGATGAAGTGCAGCTATGGTCAGCCATTAACGGCAAGTGTTTGGAGAACCAAGTTAACAAATTTAGAGGAAAAAATGATTAAAAAATATATGACTCAGGTGAAAAGATGTGAGTAATTAAAGAAGGGGATTCTTCACTTCTTCATCTATAAAGGGAGAAGTTTCAATTAGGTGAATTCCTAGACTCTTTCCAACTCTTAAGTTCTGATCTGATGAGCCAGCATTGAAGAGTAGGATCTGGACCTCTATGAACAGTAACTCTTCTGCTCTCCTGCCCCTCCAGCCCTCTTCTCCCATTCACCATCACACCCTCCACATGGTTCCCACAGAAACTGAGATCTCTGCTTACAATTGACTTGCTTAGGGTAGGCAGCTGACCTAGCTGGGTCAATAAAATACCTTCCTCAGGATTTTTTTTTTCCCCCTTCTTCAGGATTTTGAGATAAAAAGGAAGAAAGAGAAGACAGTTTTCTCCCTTTCCAGCTCTTAAGTTCGGATCTGATGAGCCAGCATTGAAGAGTGAGTAGGATCTGGATCTATATGAACAGTAACACTTTCTTCTGCTCTCCTGCCCCTCCAGCCCTCCTCTCCCATTCACCATCATACCCTCCATGTGGTTCCCACAGAAACTGAGATCTCTGCTTACAATTGACTTGCTTAGGGTAGGCAGCTGACCTAGCTGGGTCAATAAAATACCTTCCTCAGGATTCTGGGATAAAAAGTAAGAAAGAGAAGACAGTTTTTCTCTGGGTAATGAAAAGGGAATATATGTAAAATCTAAAGTTGATGATAACCGTGATTTGCAATGAGGTGCTGGCGGGGGAAAGCTGAAGAATGAAGACACAAGAAGCAAAGATCAGAGATTGAGAGAAAACTGCCTGGATTTTCCAAAGCATTTTATATCTCAGTCTCAGGCCACCGTTATAATGTATCACTGCCCTGAATTCCATGATACCCCAATATCCTTCTATTAACATCCCCCTTTAAGACTTAACTAGCCTCAGTTGATTTCTGTTACTTGCAACTTAAAAGATTCTCAACTACTACAGCCCATATGGGAAAGAGAAAAGTAAATGGAAGGTGAAGCTATAAGGTAGACTAGATGTAATGAGTGCCATGCTTTGGTTTATAACTGATTAGTGGCTGTGGTGATGGAGATGGGAAATCCATCAACACTCTACAGAATCATGAAAACTTTAAATAATAAAACTACCAAAATGAAAAATGAACATCTACAAAATCACTGTGGTCCTTTCATTGGCACTCAGCTTTTGCAATGTAATAGGCAATGTCAACAAATTAATGTTCTCATTAATGTTTATTAATTAGAAAGTCATATCCTGCCTCATTTCTGTCTCCTTCCACAAGTGAACTGGAACTCACTAACATAGCCATAAAATGCTATGTATGGTCAGTTGATCCTTTGTAGTATAGCCTGCCATCTTAAGTATCCTGACTGAATTGTCCATTTTCCTCCATTCCAAAGATGCTGTAGCCAGGATTATACTTGCTAAGGCAGGTGGATCAGCCTCTTAAGTGACTATACTTCATCAGACAGTTCCAGCCTCAGAAGTTAGGGACTGGGGCAGTTGTGGAGAGGTGTTTTCTTCTCCAACAGAGACTGGTGGGTTTGGCTGCTATTTGACAAGATGCAGCTAATGCTGACTCCAGGGATGGCAAGTACTGCTCTTTTGGAGGATGAGTTTAGACTATACTTCTAGGCTATGTTATTGACATAAACTGATATTTCTTTAATGGATTATAAGGCTGCTGGAGATGCTTCAGTATCATATATGGCTCCCACATGGCTTCTGTATCTTTCTAGTAGGAAAATAAATTGGTTCAACCTCTCTGAAGGTCAGTTTGTATCCATCATACAAATGCAAATACCCTTTAGCACAGAAATTCCCATTCTAGGAATTTACCCTCTGCATGTTCTTATATGTGAGAAACAAAAAAAAAATGTGTAAGAGTATTCATTGCAAAATTATACAGATAAAAGACTGTAAATCCAAAAGGTCATCTACAATGAAATGGCTAAATAAAGTATATTCAAACCATGGAATACTATACAGCTGTTAAAAAGAACAAGTAGGCACTTTGTTTAGTGATATGGAATAACCTCCATGATACACAGTGAAGTAATAAAAGTAATATGCATTTGTCTAGGAAGCTTCCACTTATGCTTAAAAGTAAAACAATGTATGCTTGTATTCTCTTGGATTTAAACAGAAAGCTCTCTAGAAGGGTGTACAAAATATGAGTTATAAAAAATGGGTGCCTGTAGGTAGAATTTTGTGTGGAGGATGAAGAAAGAAGGCTTTTCACTTACACAACTGACCACACCTTCTGAAATTTATACCATGTGAAGGGTTTCCCCATTAAAAGAATAAAATTTTAAATAAAAAATTAGGGGTGGTGGTGATGTTTTAAACAGTAGTTTCCAAATGCTGGTCTGTATCTATGAATGCCCAAGAAAAATAATTTATTAATCTACCATGAAATCATAAAAATAATGATGTACAAAATTTTCTATATTGTTGATTTTAATTTGAAGGGTCATCTTTTATTCTCGACTAAGTAACTTTGTGTGGAGGTATTAGTAAATAGTTGTTATCAAAGTAGTGTTTATTTACACAATGAGCAAAACTAGAAGTTGGCATCATTATGTCAATTCCTCAAATTTAGAGTCCTGAAATTCAAAGCACAGAGTTACTGATTTAGACTTAGCTTTTGTTCTCATATTGCATAATCTGTTTTCAGATATTATTTTGGAAGACATTTCTCCTGTGTATTTCATGGTGTCGAGTAAGTGATGAATTATAGCTGAAGGCTTTTCCACATTCATTACATTCATAAGGTTTTTCTCCTGTGTGATGCCTCTGATGTTTCTTAAAGGATGAATCATGCCTGTATGCTTTTCCACAGCGGTTGCATTCATATGCTTTTACTCCTGTATGAACAGTTTTATGGTTGCTAAGGTGTATCCTCTGCCTAAAGGCTTTCCCACATTCTTTACATTTGTAGGGTCTCTCCCCAGTATGGATTCTCTGGTGATGCGTTAGATAAGCTCTATGACTAAAGGTTTTACAACATGCAGTGCATGCATAGGGCTTCTCCCCAGTATGAATTCTTATATGTTCACTAAGGTGTCTAATCTGTCTAAAGGTTTTCCCACATTCATTGCACGTAAAGGGTTTCTCTCCAGAATGAGTTCTCAAATGCTGGATCAAGCTAATGTTCTGGCTGAAAGCTTTCTGACATTTATCACATATGTAGGGTTTCTCCCCAGTGTGGGTTCTATGATGCTGATTAAGAGATGAGCGATGTCTGAAGGCTTTGCCACATTCTTCACATTCAAAGGGCTTCTCACCAGTATGGATTCTCTGGTGTGTGGTAAGGGATGCACTTTGACTGAAGGCTCTTCCACATTCCTTACATCTGAAAGGTTTCTCACCAGTATGAATTCTCATGTGTTCAGTAAGGTGAATGGGTTGTTTGAAGACCTTCTCACATATATTACACTCATAGGTTTTTACTCTTATGTAACTTGTTGGATGATTAATCAAATCTGATTTGCATTTGTTTCGCTTTCTAGGCGTGTCACATTTACGGAGCCTCTGTTCTATAACAACATTTGAACTCACAATATTTTTGCCAAATTTGTAAGTTTCTTGGCTTCTCTTCTTATGGGTCATAGTGGTTTGTCTCACATTTCTTCCATGGTGATCCTGGTGCCTTTCTAACTCATCATCATATTTTGAGACTTTCTTCAATGTGGAATAAATGACATCATCCCTCATGAACCTTTCCATCATCATACCGTGATATAACTGTTCTTGTAAAATGTTATATTTTGCATTTGACGCACTGGTTTCTGTTTTACTCTTCAAGTCTGAAAGAAACGGAAAAAATGCAAATAACTCATGTTCATTATGCTTTGAGAAATCAATTATTAAACTGGGTAGGGAATACAGATTTAGATAACAATACATATGAAGTACATGAAATTTTGAGTATATTTATTTTTTGCATGAGGCATGTGGGTTCTTAATTCCCTGACCAGAGATCCAACCTGTGCCCCCTGCATTGGGAGCATGCAGTCTTAACCACTGGAGCGCCATGGAAGTCCCATGAAATTCTGAGTGTACTTAAATATGGTTATGCAGCCTGGAGAGGTAATGGGAAATTGAGACACAATGAACAAGGTAAAAGTGTGATTTTATATACAGAGTAAAATTTTGAACATTTTAATTTTCTATTAATACTAAAAAATGATATTTCAGGGCTATGTCTTAACAGTGTCTTTTTAACTGATAACTATTTTTGGAAAACATTCTCAGAAAGAGAAAAAGATTTCCCTCTTCCCACTCCAGCTAGTTCAGAAAAAGGTTTGAGGGAATTCCCCGGCAGTCCAGTCATTAGGACTCCAAGCTTTCACAGCTGAGGGTGAGGGTTCAGTGCCTCATCAGGGAGCTAAAATCCCACAAGACATGCAGTGTGGCTAAAAAATAAAAAACAGAATAGCAATAAAATGTATGTCCTTCAGGATGAGTCTGACAAAAGATGTGTAATGTGTACAAGAGTTTTATGGGGAAAATCCTGAAAATTTATTTTAAAAAATTAGAAAATATCAGTAAGTGGAACAATATACCATATTCCCGGACAACAGGACTCAATATCATAACATTAATTTCCCCCTAAATTGATCTATAGATTCAATATATTCCAATCAAAATACCACCAGAGAATTTGTGTGTGTGTAATTGATGCACTCATTATGTAATTCATATGGAAAAGCAAGGGGCTAACAATAGCCAGGACAATTTTGAAGAATAAGATATTAAATCTCACTGTGAAATACAGTAATTAAGACAGTCTGACATTAGAGTAGGGATAGAAAATAGAAAAATGGAACAGAACAGATAAAGCCAGAAATAGACTCAGGTATATAAAGAAACTTGGCAGCTGACCAAGTAGCATCAACTATTCAATATATGGTTCTTGGGCTGATTACCCACATGTAAAAAGTTAAACTAGAGCCTCATCTCACACTATATATAAAATGTGTAGATTTAAACCTAAATATGGAAAAATAAAATTTTAAAGATATAAAATATATATATTTTTCTATAAATCAATAAGGAAAAAATAATAGGAAGATTTGCAAAGGATATAAACAGGTAATTTACAGAAAAGAAATCCTGGAAGGATGGCTAACAAACATGAAAAACATGCTCCCTCTTATTAGTAATCATGAAAATGAAAAAAACAAGACACCATATTCAACCACTGAATTTATAAAAATGTGAAAGTTTGACAACGCCAAGGGCTGACAAAGATGCTGAGTTCTGGAACCTCTCAAAAGTCTCAGATGGGAGTACAAACTGGTACAACTACTTTGAAGAACAATTTCCTGAAACATAAAGGTACATCTGCTCCATGACCCAACAAGTCTGCTTCTATCAAATATTTCAGAGATATACTTACATACTTACACAAGAAGTTACATATATAGTTTTACTGCAGTATCTCTGTAACCCCCAAATTTAGAAACCCCTAAATTTCTTATCAACAGAAAAATGGATAAATTGTGCTTTATTAATTCAATGGAAATGAATGATATGGATAAATATGAATGAATAATATGGATAAATATCAACAGTGTTGAATAAGAAAAGCAAGTGGAAGAAGTACATATACCATTTTTTTAAAGAATAAGAATATGCAAAGCAGTATTATAAGTAGTAATTTATGTGCTATAAGTCACAGCAAGGTCCTCTATGACCCACCTCCTAGAATAACAGAAATAAGAAAAATAAACAAGTAGGATCTAATTAAACTGAAAAATTTTTGCATAGCAAAGGAAACTATAAACAAGGTGAAAAGACAACCCTCAGAATGGGAGAAATAATAGCAAATGAAACAACTGACAAAGGATTAATTTCCAAAATATACAAGCAGCTCACACAATTCAATACCAGAAAAACAAAACAACCCAATCAAAAAGTGGGCAAAACACCTAAACAGACATTTCTCCAAAGAAGGCATACAGATGGCTAGTAAACACATGAAAAGATGCTCAATATTGCTTATTACTACAGAAATGCAAATCAAAACTATAATGATATATCACCTCACACTGGTCAGAATGGCTATCATCAAAAAATTTACAAGCAATAAATTCTGGAAAGGGTGTGGAGAAAAGGGAACCTCTTGCATGACCACTGTGCAAGACAGTATGGAGATTCCTTAAAAAACTAGGAATAAAACTACCATATGACCCAACAATCCCACCACTGGGCATATATCCTGACAAACCATAACTGAAAAAGACAGACGTACCCCAATGTTCATTGAAGCACTATTTACTATAGCTAGGACATGGAAGCAACCTAGATGTCCATCGACAGATGAATGGATAAAGAAGCTGTAGTACATATATACAATGGAATATTACTCAGCCATAAAAAGGAACATGAGTCAGTGCTAATGAGGTAGATGAACCTAGAGCCTAGTATACAAACTGAAGGAAGTCAGAAAGAGAAAAAAAAAATTGTATATTAACACGTATATACGGAATCTAGAAAGAGGTACTGATGAACCTGTGGTCAGGGCAGCAATGGAGACGCAGACACAGAGAATAGACTTAAGGAAATGAGTGAGTGGGGGGAAGGAGAGGGTGGGATGAATGGAGAGAGTAGCATGGGAACATATACACCACCATACGCAAAACACATGGCCAGTGGGAATTTGCTGTATGGCTCAGAGAACTCGAACCAGGTCTCTGTGACAACCTAGAAGGGTGGGATGGGGTGGGAGGTGGGCAGGAAGTTCAAGAGGGAGGAGATGTATGTATACCTATGGCTGATATATGCTGATATACGGCAGAAATGAACACAATATTATAAATACAATTTATTTTTCAATTAAAAATAAATTTTAAAAATATTATATATTGCTTGGGAATATATACATACAATACAAATATGAAGACACATATAGGAATGACAATGTTTAAAGTCAGAAGAGTTGGTTATTTCACAAACAAGGATGGGAGTACTGTGGTTTAAGCTCTGTTTAATTTCTTAATCTAGGTAGAAAGTACATAGCAATTTATTGTAATGTTCTCTGTGCCTTTCTGAATATCTAAAATATTTCACAATAAAAGCGAAGTTTAAGAAGATTGTTAAAGATCACTGGATTTGATGAGAAGGAATCCCATGGTCATTTCTCTAGCAGGATTTTCCATAAAACATTTGTTACAATAAATAAGGATACTTTACATCAAAGGAGAGTGAGAATCAAAGTCAAGATTGTAAAATCGAAGTTGATGAAAAGTGGAAATAGGATGTAAGAGAGAAGATTAAAGATCTGGAGAATGCAGTGAGAGTCCTGAAAAGAGATCTGCTTTCTGTGAGAAGAGACTACTACGTACATCTCAGAGAATGGGGAAAGGAGCTTTCGATTGGCAGACTTTAGGATACTGAAGAAAGAAGGAAAACCTTAATCAAGAGAAGACTTATCTTCCCTTCAACTCCAGAGACTTCTGCAGGGTCAGATGAAGAAAAGGACTGCAGACAGAGGAATGAAATCTAGTTCAGAGCATGCCTGTCCACCCGCTCAGCCTTTCTGCAGCCTGGGAAGATGCTGGGCACTCTGGCCTACATATTAAAAGGCACCATCTGCCTTGGCTCACCTGAACTGGGATCTCCTGGGCCTTCTTTCTCTGTCATCCATGGCTCTTCTCCTTTCTCCAACTGGGAAATCACACTAGGTTTGGAAAGCTGACAGCCTGCTTATGGAATGAAAAAAAGGGTATGAATATTTATGTTGAGGTCAAAGATCCATCCCTGGGATGTAGTTTCAATCCTCAGGTATTTAGGGTCTCTGAAGATGGGAAGGAGTACCAGAGCATGTTTTCCTATTCTCACTCTACAAAGTAAAGTGTTCCCCGAAGGGAAGAGATTCAGATATGTTCTGGCTTGATTTTCAAAGGTATGAAACATCCATCTCCAACACAGAACCCAAGGCCAGGCTCTAGGGAATCTACCGCATTTAATAATTTAGGAATTATTAACACTAAACTAAATATTAATCCTGTTAATAGGCAGGATTCTGGATGTATGTGTAGCCTGTCCTTACCCACTGAGACCAGATTCCCATAGTTCTCCAGCATCACCTCCCGGTACAGATTCCGGTGAGCAGGCGCCAGCTGCCCCCACTCCTCCTGGGTGAAGTCCACAGATATGTCCTTGAAGGTCAACAGTTCCTAGAATATCCAATATATCCCTTTTCAGCCTGAGACCACCTCTATCAAGATCCAATATGTTCTGACAGTTTTCTGAGAGGTTCTAAATTAGTTTTACTGGGAGTCTCCTCTGGATCTGTTTGGTAATTCTCTAGAGACTATCATAAACAATATATGAAAGGACAGATGGTTATTATATGTGTCTTAGAAAAAAACAAAATGAAGCAGGATAATGGCACCATGGAGAGCCACAGTGAGGATGAGGAAGATCTTTCGTGTAGGGTGTTAGGGTAAGTCTTCCTAAAAGGGTGATATTCGAACAGAGACATGACTCAGTAGGAAAGAGCCACACAGAAATCTGAGGGGAGAGTATTCCAGGCAGGAACAAAGGACCTGAGGACTGCATATCCTTGGCTTGTCTGAGGAGCAGGAGAGTGGCCAGCATTGCTGAGGCGGGCAAGTGGAAGTAGATGAGACCAGAGGGCCCAGGGGAAGGGAGACAGGCTTTCAGCACTTACTGTCACAAAGACCAATGCATTCCTCCAAGGCTGAAATTCTGGGACCCTGCTGGAATTTAATGCAAGATGAACAAAATGGTTTGGAACTGTGATCGAGCTCTTCCTTAGCTCAAATACTGAATAGATAAAAAAGGATCAGCCCCTCAGCACTGATGGCATGGGGTGCTAGTAGTTGGATTAATCAGAAGTGAACTCAATCAAGGACCCTGGCGGTGGAAGGTCCATAACTTCCACTGCAGGGGGTATGGGTTCAAGTCCTGGTTGGGGAGCTAAGATCCCACATGCCATGCAACCAAAAAAAGAAAAAAAGTGAATTCAATCAAACTAAAGTGCATCTCCGCCAGAGCTCAGCCACAGCTCTAGGAAAAATATGATTAATCAGTCCCTCACCTTAACCACCAGTCAAGAGGAAAAGGCTTAGAGTCTTCTGCAAATAAACAGAATAGACAAACAGACTATATCTATCTATCTGCACATATATACATTTATTTATTGTTTATTTATCAAGAGAAACTATTCCATAGCCCAGATATTCATGCTTCATTAACAAACACAGGTCAGGGATGAATTTCATGCAACTCAACCCAAACAAATTTTTTACATTCTGAAATCACTTTGCACTCTGAAAGATACCAGCCTTTCTCATCACCTTAAAATTTTTCACAGAACCGTACTTTCTGCAGAATCTGTATATGCCTTAATTCTTGTTGTTTGCTGTTGTTAAGTCGCTAAGTCATGTCCGACTCTGCTGCCCCATGGACTGCAGCACACCAGGCCTCCCTGTCCTTCACTCTATTACAAAGTTTGCTCAAACTCATGTCCATTGAGTCAGTGATGCCATCCAATCATTTCATCCTCTGTTGCCCCCCTTCTCCTCCTGCCCTCAATCTTTTCCAGCATCAGGGTCTTTTCTATAAATCGGCTCTTTGCCTCAGATGGCCAAAGTATTGGAGCTTCAGCTTCAGCATCAGTCCTTCCAATGAATATTCAGGGTTGATTTCCTTTAGGATTGACTGGTTTGATCTCCTTGCTGTCCAAGGGACTCTCAAGAGTCTTCTCCAGCACCACAGTCTGAAAGCATCTTTGGGGCTCAGCCTTCTTTATGGTCCAACTCTCACATCTGTACACAACTAGAAAAACCATAGCTTTGACTAAATGGACCTTTGTCAGCAAAGTGATATCTCTGTTTTTTAATACGCTGTATAGGTTTGTCACAGTTTTTCTTCCAAAGAGCAAGCATCTTTTAATTTCATAGCTGCAGTCACCATTCATGGTGATTTTGGAGCCCTGCTTTGGAGCAGGAGAAATAAAACCTGCCACTGTTTCCATTTCCCCCCCATCTATTTGCCATGAAGTGATGGAACTGGATGCCCTGATCTTAGTTTTTTGAATGTTGTTTTAAGCCAGCTTTTTCACTCTCCTCTTTCACCTTCATCAAGAGGCTCTTTAGTTCCTCTTCACTTTCTGCCATTACACTAGTATCATCTGCATATCTGAGGTTGTTGATATTTCTCCTGGCAATCTTGATTTCAGCTTGTGATTCATCCAGCCCAGCATCTCACATGATGTACTCTGGATAGAAGTTAAATAAGCAGGGTGACAATATATAGCCTTGACATACTCCTTTCCCAATTTTAAACCAGTCCATTGTTCTATGTCCAGTTCTAACTTTGCTTTTTGACCTGCATACAGGTTTTTCAGGAGACAAGTAAAGTGGTCTGGTATTCCCATCTCATTAATAATTTTCCAGAGTTTGTTGTGATCCACACAGTCAAAGGCTTTAGCATAGTCAATGAAGCAGAAGTGGATTTTTTTTTTTAACTCCCTTGCTTTTTCTATGATCCAACAGGTGGTGGCAATTTGATCTCCGGGTTCCTCTGCCTTTTCTAAATTCAGCTTGAACATCTGGAAGTTCTTAGTTCACATATTGTTGAAGCCTAGCTTAAAGTATTTTGAGCATTACCTTGCTAGCATGTGAAATGAGCGCAACTGTACTGTAGTTTGAACATTCTTTGGCATTGCCTTTCTTTGGGACTGGAATGAAAACTGACCTTTTCCAGTCCTGTGGCCATTGCTGAGTTTTCCAAATTTGTTGGCATATTGAGTGCAGCACTTTAACAGCATCATCTTTTAGGATTTGAAACAGCTCAATTGGAATTCTATCACCTCCACTAGCTTTGTTTGTAGTAATGCTTCCTAAGGCTGCCTTGTCTTCCCACTCCAAGATATCTGACTCTAGGTGAGTGACCACACCAACATGGTTATCTGGGTCATTAAATTTTTTTGTACAGTTCTTCTGTGTATTCTTGCCACCTCTTCTTAATCTTTTCTGCTTATGTTAGGTCCTTGCCATTTCTGTCCTTTATTCTGTCTTTCTTGGTTTACCAAAGCAAACTTGTAGAAAGTTGCAACTCCCAGAGATACAACGATTGCTCTAACAACATGAAATTGCAGGTGCTTGGCCAGGAAGCTACACATCTGAGGTTTCATTAAAAAACTGGAAGCAAACATAGTTATTCTCAATACCAATGTCCTTCCACGCTGATAGGGAAATGAATCTATCTATGCATATTTCATCCTCCACTGTTCTTTTATACATAATATCTGAATCATAATAAAAAATTATTAGGGAACTGAAGGAGGAAAATCTGACCTATAATCAAGAAATAAAAACATAAGAAGCAAAGATCTAGGTCACCAAGTCACTGGAAGAAGCAGACAAGAAATTTAAAGCAATTATTAAAATATATGTTGAAGAGTTTACAATAAAATATGGATGGAATAGGTCAAAATGTCAGGGTAATTGAGGAGAGACAGAAATGCCAAAAAAGAACTAAAAGACAATTCTACAACTGAAAAATACAATATCTGAAAAATCCATTGGATGGGCTTAACATCAGATGGACCCTGATGAAGACAAGATCAGTGAAACTTAACACAGGTCAATAGACAGTATTCAAATAGAAGCACCAAGAGAGAAAAAGGAAAAAAAAGGGATAATATCACATGGTCTAATATACATGTAATTAAAATCTCAGAAGAAGAATGAGAAGAAAGGAATATTTGAAGAAATAAAGGCTGAAAATTTTCCAAGTTAGATTAAAAAAAATCAACCCATAAATGCAAAAGGCAGCAAATCCTCCACCAAAAGAAAAAATATTCAAAGAATACCATGTCTATGCACATCATAAAAACTGCTGAAGAGCAAAGATAAAAGGGAAGATTATAAAAGTAGTGTAAAGAAAGTAGGAAAGGAAGAACAGGAACACCAGAAAAGTTAGTATAAAATAAACAAAAAGACATGTCACATCTGGGGAAAGAATAAGAAAAATAGTTCACTTTTTATCTGAAGCAATATAAGCCAAAAGACAATGAAACATCCTTAAAGTGCCTAAAAGAAAAAAAACTGGTAACCCTAGAATTCTATATCCAGTAAAAGATCCTCTAATAGGAAGATCATATAAAGACATTTCTAGATCACCAAAGCTGTGAGGATTCGTCATCTGAAGACCCACACAACAGGAAATGCTAAATGATGTTCTTCAGGCTGAAGGGAAATGATGTCAGAAACTTAGAACCTAAAGGGAGGACTGAAAAGTGCTCCAACTGGTAAAGTGAAAGAAAGTCACTTAGTCGTGTCTGACTCTTTGTGACCCCTATGGACTGGAGCTTACCAGGCTCCTCTGTCCTTGGAATTCTCCAGGCAAGAACACCGGAGTAGGTTGACATTTCCTTCTCCAGGGCATCTTCCTGACCCAGGGATCAAACCCAGGTCTCCTGCACTGTAGGTGGATCCTTTACTGTCTGAGCCACCAGGAAAGCCTGCACTGGTAAATATGTGGGCAAATATGAAGGGCTCATTTTTTCCCTTTTCTTAATCTCTTATGAGACAGTTTACTGTTAAAAGCAAAAATAAGGACATGTATTATGGGGTATATAACATGTAAAGTGAAAAGCATGATGACAACACACACAGAGTGGGAAGAGTAAATGGGAAAATAAGACTTTCATATTCTTTGTGAAACAGTATAATAGTAATTCAACTGTGACACGTTTAAAATGCATATTGTAATGGCCAGGACAACCACTAAAAACAAATCAAAGTATAGCTAAAAAAAGTCATTAGAGGACACAAAATAGAATACTAAAAAACTGCACAATCCAAAAGAAGGCCGGAGAGGAGGAACAAAGAAATGAAAGAATAGGTTTGACAAACAGCAAACAAAGGACAAGAATATACACTTAAATTCTACCATATCAGTGATTGCCTGTGCGCTCAGTCACTTCAGTTGTGTACTACTCTTTGTGACTCTACGGACTATAGCCCGCCAGGCTCCTCTTGTCCTTGGGATTCTTCAGGCAAGAATACTGGAGTGAGTTGCCATGCCCTCCTCCAAGGGATCTTCCCTACCCAGGACACTGAACCCATGTCTCCTGCGTCTCCTACATTGCAGGCGAGTTGTTTTTGGTTTTTTGGGGCTGCAGTGGGTCTTTGTTGCAGCATGCAGTATCTTTAGTTGTGGCATGTGGGATCTAGTTCCCTGAGCAGGGATCAAACCCAGGCATCCTGCATTGGAAGCACGGAGTCTTAGCTACCGGGCCACCGGGGAAATCCTGTAGGCGGATTCCTTACCCACTGAGCCACCTGGGAAGCTCCATATCAATGATTATGTAACTGTTAACAGACTAAGCAAGCAAGGCCCAGCTGTATCTAAGATGGGCCACACTTTAAATATAAAGGCACAAATAAGTTAAAAGAATGAAAAAAGCTATACCATACCAACAATAACTAAAAACACTGGAGAAGTTACATTAAATCAGACAAAGTGGGCTTAGGAAAAAGAATATGATGAGACATTTCCTAATGATAAATGGTCAGCTCATTAAGAAGACAATAATCCTATGTGTTTATGTGCCTGGTAACAGAATTCGACATGACAGAACTAAAGGGAGATATGAACAAAACCACAATAATTAGAGATTTTAACACTCCTCTCACTAAGTGATAGAACAAGTAGACAAAAATTTATCAAGGATGTAGATCTGAACACCTATCAATCAACTTAACCTGACATTTGTAGAGCATTATACCTAACCACTGCCACATACAGATTCTTTCTCAAAGTTTTTATTCTGAGATTATAGATTTATCAGCTAATTTTAATCATAGATTTACATGCAGTTATAAGAAATAAAGCAGAAATCCCATGTACTCTTTCTACTGGGGGCCAAACAGAGTTTTGATTGGGAAGGGGCACAAGTGAACATTCTGAGAGGCAGAAATGCTCTGTATCTTGACTTGGTTACATGGTGTATAAATGTCAAAATAGAACCATGTACTTTCTTAAGTGTTTTTCCTATATATAAATTATACCTCAATCTTAAGAAATTTAATCCTTTCCAGTGCTAAGAATCCCACCAATATTTTAACTGTCAGGAGGTAAGAATTCTATAAAAGTGGAATGTAGAGATAAGGTAACTCTCCAAATAATTAGAATATTACTATTTCTTCCATATTACTGGAAATAGCCCTGGAATGCATTTCAATTCTAAAAGATGTTAGCACCTTAATTAGCTAAAGAAAATGGCATCATAAAAAACCTAAAAAAAAAAATCACGGAGCAAGTAAATACCAGAGATAAGTTCAAATTCTGTACCATCTAATTTCAGAACCCAAGTTCTCAGTTAAAACTCTTCTGTCCTCGGATAACGTCTCCTCTTTAATAAGTCTTCCTTTCACATTTACTCTACAGTTTTCCTTCTCTACTTCACCTGTGCTTCTACCAGGTGGTGAGGACATGTTCCCATACCCTGCTGTAACTGCCCAGCCTGTCTAATGTGTGTGCTCCATGGCCTGACCATTTCTTCTCTGCCCAGGTCTTTAGCTGTTATTTGACCTCTGCTCATGCCACTATTCTATGGGCCACCTCAGGAAGTGACAGATGTAACCCATTTTTTAGTATAAAATAAAAACTGAGGTTTATCTTAGATCCCATATGGTACCTGTTGGTTTTTATGGGTTGGAATTAAATCATTCATTTTGCTTTCTCTACAAAAATTTGTATTAGATGTTGGCTGGAAAGAAACATTTTTTAAAAAAATATTTTTTGGCGACACAGCATGTGGAATCTTAGTGCCCCAACCAGGGATCAAACCCGCACCCCCTGCAGTGGAAGTGCAGAGTTGTAACCACTGGACTGCCATGGAAGTCCGAAGAAACGTTTTCTAAAAGGGGGGAAACTGCCGCCACTGTGGACCCGTTTTCTGCACAAGATCAACTTGCACTGAGTTCCCTAGTTAAATTCATTAGCCTTAATATACCCAACTCCCCAGAAAAGGGCAAATTATAATCTTAAAAACTAAAAAGCATGTCAAGAAAGTGACAGAAAACTCCAACCCACCTGGGAGTCTGTTGTTGGGGTCCCGGGGGTTAATTCATCCTTTAAACTTTCTCCCTGGGTCTCATCAGCATCCTGAGATAGCAGAGCTGAGGAAGGAAAAGAGCCAGAAAGTTTGCATCTTCCCTTACCCCACTAAATAGAAAAACTGCCTGCAGTCCTGCTCAATACAGCCCCTCTTTGAACACATTCACAGAGAGAGACATTCAGAGTGACTCAAGAGCAGACTAGAGTCTCCTTAATGAGGAGGACCTGCGGTGCATTGATTGGGGTATTAATGTTTCCCAGTGGTCAATGATGATCCAGAAGCACTGACCTACAAGGCCACTCATCTGTTCAGAATCCTCAAAGGTTCCCCACTTACAAGCAAGAAAAATCCAAACACTTCCCACGGACTTCATGGCACTCTACAATCTGCCTGAAGCATATCTTCCCAGCATTAGTTTCCTCTAACCACCACCCTTTATCTGTGGGACACATGCACTGACCACATTCTTATCCCTCAGTTAGACTAGAACAGTCTCCATTCTCTGAACCACTCTTCAAGGTCCCCACTTTTGTATTTTTTCCCAATTCTTCCATAGAAACCAAAGACATCTTTTAAGGCTCAATTCAGTGCTATCTGCTTTGTGAATATTTCTCTGATAAATACAATCAGAAGAATTTTCCTGTCTCTTCCAAAAGAACTTTACCATAAAATGTATTTAGGCTACTTTCTCTTCTTTCCATCCAGGTATGTGTCTATCTCTATCAATTAATAATTAGCATTAGAGATCATTATTCATTTCTCCATCTATCAAGATGCTTAACAAAGTCCCTGTCTGACTTTTGAAGTGTTAAAGATGAACTAAGAGACCCCATGAGATATACTAATTCCTCTGTCCATCCATCTATCCTAAGCTGGCCAGCAAATACTGTGTAACCTTGGACATGTTTCCCACTGAATTCAAAACAGTTCAAGGTAAAGTGAGAGTAACCAAGAATGTCATTCCTTCCTCCTAGCAGGAGACAAAAAGAAAGAAAAAGCATTGGTATGGGAGTAAACTGACTGAGACTAATAAAGGAAAACCACTGAAGGGCTTAAGGTGGTAGAAACCTTTGACTCTGATGTCTGTAAATCCCACTTATACAGCTGCTGGTGGGGAACACCCTGAATTCTGTCTTCCTGTCCTGTGCTTATTGGAGGACAGATGGGAGCAGCATTGAGCACACCTCACAGGGACCCCGTGCTTAAAGCCTAACATTTTCTTGCACAGCTATCTCCTTCCCCAAAGCCACAAGCACAAGCCCCAAGGACCTACTCTCTCCCAATTTTCTCTGCCAGAGACCACCTCAGTGATGTGTGTACCTATTTTTCCCAAGCAGATTGAGAACCCTTCTTCCTCCTCCATCCCCCCATCCATCAGCCTACTCTCACCTCCTCCTTCAAACATCTTGGTCACATCCTCCCACAGGGGCGCCCCCTCCTTGGCCTTCTCTGGATGGTGCAACTTCACCCATGTGCTGGCCTCGGTGGGCAGGGTGATCAGGAGCTGCTGCAGCATGATGATGCCTCCTGACTGACCTCGTCCACTTCTGGTGAGGAAACGGCCAGAGCCTCTGCTGAGATGCCTCACGGTTGCGTGGTCCTCCTGTGATCACCGTCTCCTGCCCTCAGGATTCTTGTGTGTGCCTGCAGCACCAGAACCTAGGGGCTCCTGGAGGCTGATGTGGCTCTCACAGCTCTGAAAAACTGATTCCTCTCTAAAATTAAGTCCTGCCTGCTTGCGGGTTGGCTGGTTGAGTAGGTCTGAGTCTATGCCTCTTCATAATCTTCTAGAGGAGCAAAAGGCAGGGAGGAGGGATCCAGAAAACCAATCATACAGATAGAACTCCAGAACTTGCAGAAACATACTTAAAACTGCAAAATATCCAAAAACAAAGATTTAGCATCAATGTGAAAATAAGTATAATCTACGCTTTGGATGCAGCTCTAATTTCCAGTTCCATACACACTTTCACAAATAGCACAGATACACACAAATACCAAAGATACACAAACATGCACAGACCTTGCCTTGACTTTCCTCTTTGGAAGCTCCAATACTTTGGCCACCTGATGCGAACAGCCGACTCTTTGGAAAAGAGCCTGATGCTGGGAAAGATTGAAGGCAGAAGAAGAGGACAACAGAGGATAAGGCGGTTGGATGACATCACTGATTCAGTGGACATGAACTTGGACAAACTCTGGGAGATGGTGAGGGACAGAGAGATCTGACATGCTGCAGTCTATGGGGTCACAAAGAGTCGGACACGACTTGGCAACTGAACAACAACAACAAGCTGCATGTATCTTCTGCTTGGGCACAGACAGACTTGGGAGTTAAGAGGGCAAGCTTAGAAATCAAATAGCCTGGGTTAGAATCCTGACACAGGCACTTAAAAACTCTAAGACACTTCAATTCTCTGAGTTTCCATTTCATCCATCTAGAAAATGCAGATAAGAAGTGTACTTCGTAGGGTTGTAACAATGTTGGGAATACAGTACCTTAATAGACATTATTATAAACCTTTTGCTTTAATGTGCAACCACAACATTACTTTTTAAAGTTATTTTTAAAACAATTACAGATCTGAATTTAAAGTTTCAAGTATCTCAAATATAGTACTTCAAATATAATGAGAACTATTGCAGAACTGCTCCTGGCAGGAAATTTTGGAAACCGCCTACCTTTTCGTGGAAGCCCTTGGCATTTGAACAGGTGCCTCTACAGCGACTAAGTACAGTGTATTAGGGCCTCAAGAACAATCCCAGTCCTAGCTCCCTGAAAAGGGAACCGGCCCAACTTTTTGAAGTTTGTGGGGCAGGGTGTTTGGCTTCTTGTTTTCAGCTGTGACTGATGCAGAGAAAGGAGCTGTATTGGAGCATATGAAAAATATCCTGCCCCCAAATATATGAAAAGTAAAATGGTTTGTTACCCAAGTGGAGAAACTTTCCAATCTTATTCCCGAAATGGTTAACGACAGAGAAGCTTCATTTCGAGTGTAACCCCTTCTCACTACTCCCAGAAATGTCTCTCTCGGACCTAAGAAACTACAGACACAGCGTAGCTTCCTACTCACCAGAGCGGCCGTGGACACTGGTAGGACCAGAAATGGGGGACATGAGAGAGCCGGTTCTTGAGGCTTTCAGCTCCAGAGGGTGTCTCTTTAGAGAAGAACCGGTAAGAGATTTTGTTCTTCCCCAGCCTTTTATAGACAGACCACATCGACACCCAACACAATGACTTTTTTAAAAAACGCTGAACATTCACGCAGGCTTCCTTCTGAAGCCCAAAGGACTATCGGTCTCCAGACCGGACCAGGGCTCTTTTCCAAATTCCTGAGAGGCGGCCTAGGGCGGGTGCTGAGGCACCAGATAAACCCACAGCCCCTCCAACGTGCCCTTTCGCAGCCACACTCCCGGGAGCAGGGCTTTGGGGACCTACAAGGCCAAGGGAACGCTGAACCGGCTTCCAACAGACCCGGGCTAGGCTACCGCTCGCCAGCCGCTGCTTTGATGCCAGGCCGGCGGCAGTGGCGAGGCCCACCGGGGCCCCGGCTCCTGGGCCTCAGCCGGAGTGTCCCGACCCCTCCGCAGTAGCGAAGCGCCGTTGCCCGCGCCCCTGTTCGCCTTCGCCCAGGCCTTGGCGGGTCCCGGGTGCTGCCCCCGACGCAGCCGCAGTGCTATCTACCCCGGTGCCCTCGAGTCTTCCGGCGGCTCGGCACGCCCCGCCGCCGGCTCCGCCCATCAGGAGCAGCCAGAGTTCGCCCTCTCCGGGGAGGCAGGCGCTCCCGAAAATCCGGAACCCGGATTCTGCGGAGCGCGCCTGGGCACGCCGACCCCACGACTGCCAGACCCTGGGCAGCGGCCACCCAGGCGGACCGCCCGCGTTTCCTGACAACGGCCCCAAGAGACTAGGTAACCGGCCCAGCTCTTCCCCTGCGAAAGCCCTTTCTCTGTCCTTCATTCATTTATTCAACTATCTTCTGAATCCCTAGGTCTGTTCACACATTGCTACAGGCTCTGGGGAAACACCAGTTATCAAAACTCAGTCCCTGCTTTCTTGGATCTTAATTCTGGGAAAATTAAATAGATAATAATAATAATGTAGAAAGGTAATGTTCTCTGCCACCCCAGTGAATTGCCCACCATCAAGGCATCAGCCACTGCAGACCTCACGAATGGTATACCCTGAGGTGAATTCAGGATGGACACAAACAGGAAACCTTCTGCCCTCTGGCTGACTGTAGATAGTTAAGACACATATCTAAGGAATAATTTCAATGAGCAGGGCCTTTACCTTCTGCTATGACTTGTTATAGCAGATGTGAGAGTTGGACTGTGAAGAAAGCTGAGCGCCGGAGAATTGATGCTTTTGAACTGTGGTGTTGGTGAAGACTCTTGAGAGTCCCTTGGACTGCAAGGAGATCCAACCAGTCCATCCTAAAGGAGATCAGTCCTGGGTGTTCATTGAAGGACTGATGCTGAAGCTGAAACTCCAATACTTTGGCCACCTCATGCGAAGAGTTGACTCATTGGAAAAGACCCTGATGCTGGGAGGGATTGGTGGCAGGAGGAAAAGGAGACGACAGAGGATGAGATGGCTGGATGCATCACCGACTCGATGGGCATGAGTTTGAGTAAACTCCGGGAGTTGGTGATGGACAGGGAGGCCTGGCGTGCTGCAATTCACGGGGTCGCAAAGAGTTGGACACGACTGAGGGACTGAACTGAACTGATGACTTGTTAATGACTTGTTTATGACTTTCAATCTAGTCATCACTGAAAAGATTGTTTCCTGTATTTTGAGTTACTTCCTAACCTCTTTCAGGTACTGCGTCTGGTGTGCCTGATTCCAGAGCAACTTGTCCTTCTCCAGAGGATAAACTCTAGTCTCTTTTGGATGAGGAAAGGTGGTAATGTAAACTCATGTTTACAAAATAAAGAGAAACTCACATAGTTAATCAGCCCTAGTTAATTGCATTTTAAACAAATTAACTTAAAAAATAACCTATCTTAAAAGTATGTCTGTTATGATTCACCATTCTTAAAAGCTTATAAATTCTGAACCATTTGTAAACAAAAGAAGGAGGGACTTCCCAGGTGGTCCAGTGTCTAAGACTCTGCCCTCTCAATGCAGGGGGCCCAGGTTTGATCCCTGGTCAGGGACCTATATCCCACATGACAAAACTAGAGTTTATATTGCACAACTAAATATCCCGTGTGCTGCAACTAAGACCTGGCCAGCCAAACAAACAAATAAAAATAAATATTAAAAAAATAAAATGAAAATTTGTGTTAAAAAAAAAGGAAACAAGATTTCCTCACCTATAAAAGCTAGGTGAGAAAGTATAGGAATGGCCTTTCTCTATTGTCATAGATACCCAGTTCAATTCAGTTCAAATCAAAAGAATTCAGCAAGTATTTATTGAGTCCCTACTGTATGCCAGGCACTTGTGATGCACCAGTCAACAAAACAGATCCCTGCTCTCATGGAGCTTACATTCTCCTAAGGGAAAATATGAGTAAATAATAAGCATAATAAATGTGTAAATTATCAATATCTAGTATGTTATGTAAGATGTGATATGGACAAAGAAGGAACAGAACACGTTAAGGGAATTTGGGAATACAGAAGTTAGGGGGCAAGGAAAAGGTTGTAATATTAAGTAGCATGTCAGAACAGGCTTCAGTGAAAAGGTAACATTTGAGCAAAAGTGAGGCAGGAAAGGTAGGATGTCTGAAGGAACAGCTAGTGTAAAGGCCCAGTAGCAGGAATAGGCTATAGTTCAGAATGGAGGTCTTGGCTGGAGACATGAATCTGGCAGTTGATACAACCATAAAATACCAACAGAGATGTTGTTTTAAGCCAGGAGACCATGTAAGATCACTGAGACACAGACTGTAGATAAAGAAAAGTGATGGTCGTGCTTTTCACGAAAGGAAGCAATCAAAAAACCCCAAATTCTTGGGAAATCTAAGACCACAGAAACATGGAAGAACATATATGAGGCACAGTGAGCACCCTCAGTCTGTCCTTCTGCCCATCAAAGTCATACAGGACTGACGAGTTAGAAGCCAGTTTTTTTCAGGTAAATATACTAATACAAAATATCTAGAGATAATGGAATATATTCTGGATTAACAGCTTTACTTTTGATAGTTCACACAATGTTCAGGCAGTTAAATTATTTGTTTTGAACTGCCATTTAAGAGTAAGAAGCTGAACTTGACCAATCTCCACTGATATTTGAAAGGATGCAGTATTTATAAAGACAGTGAAGTACTATAAATCAATTCCTCCACTTCCCCTCTCAAACTTCCCTGCCTCAAATTGGCCCCTGCAGTCACTGTCTCCCTGGTCCTCTTTGGTGGGTCCCTAAATGTGTTTTTCTAAGAGCTGTTTCAAAGACCTTCTCGCTCAAAAGACAACACATTTTTTAATTTAATGCCATACATTTGGCAATTGGAAAGTAAAAGACAATTAAAATGGCATCCACCAATATTAATATATCTATCTTC